CTCTATCCGTTTATGGGATGTTAAGACAGGATAATAAAAAGCCAAATTAGATGGTCATTCAAATTAAGTAAGAACAATTTGTTACTCTCCTGATGGTACTACATTAGTATCTTGTAGTGCAGATAACTCTATCCGTTTATGGAATGTTAAGACAGGATAATAAAAAGCCATATTAGATGGCCATTCATCAACAGTTTATTCAGTCAATTTCTCCCCTGATGGAAATACATTAGCTTCTGGTAGTTATGATAACTCTATCCGTCTTTGGAATGTACAAACATCAAAAGAAATACTTCAATCAGATGGTAGCTATAAAGGTTTGCTTGCCTAGTTTAACATACCTCTTCATAATTGCTCCTTATTTCCAAATGGTATTTATTATTAAGTATTATTTAGTTAATCCTTATTGTATAATACTTAGAATATGCTAGAATCCTTAGTTCCAAGCATCAGGAACATCTATCTTATAGGGACAATTCACGAATTATTAAGGGATAGATTTAAAACCATTGTTTAAATCAAAAGGAAGTTGCTTTTTAGAAGACTTAAAGCAAAAGCAAAAGTGAATTTGAATATTCATTGAAAACATTGCAATTATAATTTTAATCATTTTCTTATAACTTTTTGAATAATATGTGTTTTTTGTTACCATTTAAATATTTGGATAATATTGAGATGTCAGAAACAACGGTTATAAAATAATATTTATAAATGTACAATACACTAATTAATTTATAATCTAAGCAGAGTCCAGTTAGCATATTTTTTCCTGTTTATAAACAGGTTAAGTCTTAAAAATGATAATTAATAGTTTTGTAAAATTAAGATTTTTGAGTTTATAAAAAGAAGAGATACAATTTATAACAAAAATAACATTTCAAAAAAAGAATAAACTTAATCCTAGAAATAATCTAAACAATAACATTAAAATTACCCTATTCTTGATAATATTTTCATAATCTAATTAATATTAAAAGTATTAGATATATAAAAAAAGACTGATTATATACATTCATCTTCAATTAGTAGTATATACCTTAAAAGGATCAAGATTTAAGGAGATAATTATTATA